TAGCGTTCAAGTTTTTTGGAATCCAAATACGTTTTTTCAATTGTGTACGTATATTAAAAAAGGTATCACCAACCATCTTGCATCTGGTAATTTCGCTAAAGATCTCTCCTATCATTAGCTACATTTTCACTGTTAGTCATGTAATAATTAGCTTTGGTTTACTAACCACTCCGTCAAAGTTTGTTTGGATGTCAACTTTTTCTACCAGGTGTATTCTGTAGGAAATCTTTATCCTCTTCTTTATCTCAGATTTTGCGCTATGAAGTTCAGAAGTGTTCTCTGTAGATTTCGGTAACCTTTTTGGGGGTCCTACGATAGACAGTTGCAAGAAACGACAAGATCAAAGCGTGACACTCCCGTAACTTATTATGACGATATCGAGGATTTGTTCACCAGACACATTTTCTCAAATTGATTTAAAGGCCGAGTGCACTCAAAAAGATGGTAAGGATACGATGGTAACGGCATCAGCAGTGAAATGGTAAATCATGATGGTAAGTCATGATAATTACATTGTAAGTGATGGTAGTAGTGCATGGCAAGTGATGGTATATATGGTAAAGCATTCTAGTATAAATAAATGCTTAGGCAAGCTGGCAGATGTTAAATCATGATGGTAGGCATGGTAATATATGGGAAGTTCGTGGTAATATGTAAGTCATGGTGGTACATTGCAAAGCATAGTTTTCGAAGTTTACCTTGGCTTTTTTGTGTGCTGGTGATAGTTGAGAAGGTATAAAGGAAAGGATTGATGGACGAGTTGATTGGCAAAACAAATACTGCAATCCATACGTACATTTGTTTAGATGGGTCGCTGTAGATGCCGGTAATAGAAAGAAAACTGATGATAATAACAGGCATCCAGCAAAGAAAGTCAGTAAGGATGATGAATGCAACTTTCTTTGATAGAGAAGATTCTCTGTTGACAGCMGTTGATCGRACTGCATTTGCTGACTTCTGTACTGTCTTTATGATTGCRATATAAGCAATWAGCATAAAYRTRAAGGCAACGAATGGAAATGCAAGGAAGAGCCCCACCGAGTATTCCCATCCCGCTTGAAGGTCTGATGAAAGCTGTACAGGCAAACATACCGAAGATCTTCCGTAAAAACCGAAATCGTCTTCGTCGTTTAGGAAATAATCAAAATCAAAGATCGGGATGATTGAAGTCACCAGACCAACAATCCACACACAGCCACAGATACACAAAGCTTTTCTCCAACTGAGCCTTTTGACAGTGAATGGAAAAACAACGCAGATAAGTCGGTCATACGTAACAATCGCCAGAAAAGCTACAGACACCACGCTTGAAAGCATCGACATCATTCCCGTTATGCGACACCCAACTCCTGATCGCCAATGTACATCATGTCTGAAGTACTCTCCTTTCCATTTGACGTCAAATGATGCGATGGTAATCAGGTAAACTCCCATTAAGAAATCTGAAATTGCAAGGTTTGTCAGCAACAGAGAGTTAGTGTTCCGTCTCATTTCTTTGCCGGAAATCCTTTTGCAAATGACTAGTAAGTTGCCAACCAGTGCACTTAAGCCAAGAATCCAGAGGAATATTCTTAGAGCAGTGTTCTTCATTAAGTCATCACAGCTAGAGAATTCATTGGATTCCAAGGACTCACACTTCACACCAGTTATGGCTTTTTCAGCATAGCAGCAGTGAATGAATTTGTCTACCTTTCTGGAAAATATGTCATTGAATATTTGCTATAAATTTATGTCCACTATAAAACTGATAACTATTTAGCTCATCTTATAATTCCAATTAAATGATTTATTTGTTATTCATCATTATACTTACATCGTTTCCAAACTCTGAAGGTCAGCGAAAACAGATTGAGATATTTTGGAAAGTTTGTTTCCTCGAAGGTTTCTAAAAAAAA